GTGTGGCTTACTGCAGAGACTTACCAGCTTGCAGCTGGTATGCAAGCTGCCAGGATGGAATGATTTGCCTTGGTCCATACCTTAGGAGACTGTTGTTGCAAATCCTGGAGTAGGGTTCCTGGATCTGGATTTGTTTCTGGTGTGGAGTCTGGGAGAGCTGGAAGACGCTCTTTGGACAGAGGGGCAGCAAAGCTGAGTTGGTATGCAGGTGTAAAGGAAATTTAAGTTTCATGAGGAGTAGAGGTGATGGTGGTGCCTAGTTTTCTACAAAGATCTCTGCCCAAGGTGTGTGTGTAGGGGGGAGCATTCTGGGACCAAGGCAAAGGTGTGAGTTTGTGGTCCAGACTGCTGTTCTTTTAGGTTGAGGTGACGGTCCTTAAAGGTGACTACAGCTCCCTAAACTGGCATCTTTTTTTTAAATGGTAACTGGCCCACCATTTGTTTGTTTGTTTATTTTCGAGGATCTCTCCCTTGGACATGGACAGTAAGAGCAGTGGGGAGTTCAGATAGAGTGTCAGCATAACGTTTGGGTGCCTGCCTGTCTGTCTGTCTGTCTGTCTGCCAAGGCAGCTTGCCTCTGCCCTTCAGTGTCCTGGTTGTTTTATTTTAAAATTTTCAGGCCACCTCCATGAGCTGAGAGGTATGTATCCCTGCAAAGCCCTCTGCCTTTTGGGGTTTTGTCAGGGAGTAATGTCTAGAGCTGATAAAGTGAAAAAAATTTTAATTGCAGAGTGGTGTTTTGTTGTGTGGTTTTTTTTTTTTTCTCAATAACTCAGGAAATGCTCCCCGCTCCCCGAGACTCCTCTGAGCCTGGAAGAACCTCATTAGACTTAGGCAAATGAGTGGGTCTTCAAGCTGCACCCCGAGTTCCAATTATAAGGTACCAGTGAAAAGTGCCCGGGAATCTGCCTGTGTACTGGACTGGGGTCCCCATCGGGGCGTTTGAACAGTAAGCTGTCTCAATGTGAGAAGCTTTTCCGCATCCTTACGGCGACTGAAGCAAAAAAAAAAGTCTTTCTACCCTCTGCCCCACTAAGTGCCCTTTTCTCAGAAACAGTCAGAAAAGGGGTGCGATGCGTGTGGGGTGGGGATGGCACGGGTTGTGGGGGGTGGGGGTGGGATGGCGGGGACAGACGCCAGGAGAGCAGTTATGGGTTAGGGCTTATCAGAAAAAAAAGATGGAGGCTCTGGGCTATCCAGTTATGCAGATCTGAAGTAGTAAAGGAAACACCCACCAGGAAAGGGCAACTCCCTTTCTCTAAATCATGGCCCCTTGCCCTAGGAGGAGGGGGTGTCTCCTGCGACTGGACTGCTGAGTTAGAACGGGGCGCAGTGGGTGCCCCAAGGGGAAGCCAAAGGTGCCTTCTAAGGTGGCAGGCAATAGGGAAGTGGGGCAGCTCTCAAGGAGTCGTCTGTCCGTTGCAGGCACCTGAGAACACAGACCTCAGCCTCCACAGGCCCAGGTCGGTAGGGAGGTGAGAGCAGAAGCTCCCCCAGTGCCCCTCCCCAAACCCCCCTACTCCCCCTCCCGCTCCCGCCCCTGGCCTCCCCCAGCTCGCCCAGGCTTCCATGTACGGCAAAAGCAGCCTGCACAGGTCCAGGGGACCTTGCCACCTGAAGCAGGCCCCGACTGGGGGCCCAGCCAACGTCGGGATGGGGGTGGGGACAAACCCCGACTGTGAAGCCCCCACTATGGAACCTGGTGGGGTGGGGGCAGACAATAAGACAGTTAATAACAATTGTGCAGAGGGTGCCACCTCCTGGCAAAATCCAACAAACAAGCAAGCAAACAAACAAACAAAAGCCAGCAGAATTTCAATCAGTCAGTCAGTCAACTCCTTTTTGTGGGGACTAGACAAAACAGAAACAAAATCAAGAAATCAAATAAACAACTCCCTGGGCCAGATTTGCCGGTCGTCCCCGACTCTCTGGACCTTCGCGCATCCTATCCATCGGACATCTGCCCATTTACACAGCAGGCCCGCCATTCTTTCAAGCAAAACGGAAACCATATCTCTCAGGAAGAAAGATGCAGGAGAGAAGCTAGTGTTCTTAGTCACTGAGCCATCTTTCCAGTCCTGGGTGGAAACAAACACCCTCCCACCACCACCACCCCCGAAAAAACTTAATGGGTTTAACTTCTTGATAAATTGCAAATATTTACTCTCTGGCATTTATTGCAAACCTACACCCCACACCCGTGGTTCTCATTTTAATCTGTTTAAATTTTTTTTGATTCCTGTATGAAATTTTACATTTTAAAGTTTCTGTTTTATTTTTATGTCTCTTTGAGACAGGGTTTCTCTGCATAGTCCTGGCTGTCCTGGAACTCAGAGACCTGCTTGTCTTGTCTTCCCAAATGCTGAGATTAAAGTTTCTATTTTATTTTTATATCTCTTTGAGACAGTGTTTCTCTGTGTAGTCCTGGCTGTCCTGGAACTCAGAGACCTGCCTGTCTGGTCTTCCCAAATGCTGAGATTAAAGGTGTATATCACCACCCACAGACTGTCAGGAAGACTGTAAGAATGGCAAGAAGAGAGGCCCCGTGGAGGAACCCCCATCTTCAGGGTGCAGGACCCAGTATCCTGGCGACCAGAATTTGAGAAATGTAGAGTGAAGTCTTCCTTGCCTATTGCTTTGGATCCCCCCCCCCCACCGCCAGCCGCCTTGGCTCTGCCACAGTTGCAGTCCCCAAATAAACACACAGGACACTATGTTAATTATAAACTGTTGGCCGTTTGCTTAGTTTCTTACTGGCTAGCTCTGACTTAAGTATTTAACCCATTATTGTTAATCTAGGTATTTCTCTTATTGGAGAAAAGGGACATACCTCTTACTCCTCTGGCAGCCACATTGTTTCTGACTCTGCCTCTCTTTCCCAGAATCCTCCTTGACTCCTAGTCCCACCTATCTTGCTTCCCTATTGGCCAACAGTGCTTTATTGACATATACACAGGACTTCCCCATCAGAGAGAACTATGCTTCTTCCTTCCTTCCTTCCTTCCTTCCTTCCTTCCTTCCTTTTTCTTTTTTTTTTTTTAATTTTTCGAGACAGGGTTTCTCTGTATTGCTTTGGAGGCTGTCCTGGAACTCTGGAGACCATTATGGCCTTGAACTCAGAGATCCACCTGCCTCTGCCTCCCAAGGGCTGGGATTAAAGGTGTGCGCCACCAAGGCCCGACTCACCCTCTGTACTTTAAACTGAGGTTTTTTTTTGTAGTTAAGGATAGAGAAGAGGGAAGGGGTATCATTAGGGACTGAACGGGGAAGTTAGCTGTTTTCCCTAGATAAGGTATTTGTGAGAGGGCAGCGTCTGCTGTCTGTTTTTGCAACCTTCATGTTCACCTGGGCCTAGGCCTGGGTGTGGGTTGGCTGCTTTTCTCCTGTGGTCTCCAAATGAGTGGAATCATGAAACTTTGAGCTTAGTTTAGGGCCTTTGCTTTTTTGGGGGGTGGAGAAAATGGGGATTTCTTTCATCTTTCTGGTGCCTTTGTTGAACATCCCCCATACCTTATTTCTTATAGTTCTGTGTCCTCACACACTATCTGTAAGGATTCAGGCATTATGCTGGACTACCCGTTACCTGGCAGAACACACTCAGGCAGTGCCCTGGTCAGCCCAGGGTTCCGTGATTGTGTAGTCTGTTTGCAGGTGCAAAGGACCCCTCTAAAAGACAAACCCCCGCCAACTTCTGCTCGCTTTCTCCACTCTTCTCTTCCCCATATTCTCTTTCCCACTCTCTTCCCCGCAGTTCCCCTGGGGCAGACAGGGCTTTTCCTGTCTCCCTCTTCTCCTCTGTCCTCTCTCTGTCTCTGTGTCTCTTTACCTCTTTTCTCTTTCCTTCCCCCTCCCTTCTCTTTCTCAGTTAAACTCTGTCTGCCTGTTTGTTCCTCTGCCTTCGTCACCCTAGCCCACCATGGAATCCACCAAGGTTCCCCTCAAGCTTTATCATAACGCTGTCTGCATGACATTTTTTTCTGTTCCTGGAGTTCAGTCCAGCAGGTACACACGTGAGGACAGAGTGAACTCTCGCCTTCGAATCCTGCTACAAATCTGCCTGTGTCTGTGCACATCTGGTATGTGTCTGTGTGAGCATACCTAGTATGTATGTCTGTATGTATGTATGTATATATGTATGTATGTAAGCATGCATGCATGTATGTGTGTGTCACTATTTCTAATACCCACCTGTGTTCTTGCAGGCCTCTGGGTGGATACCCCAGAGATCTCCTTTTAGATGCGGCTGGGGATGTCACGATGAACAAGGGCATCAGTCTCCAGGTATAAGGGTGATGCCCGCATGGCAGAGACCACATCAGTCTCCTAGTACATGTTCCAGTTTAGTCCTTTATTGCCTGAGAAAGCCCTGGTCTAGGGCCTGTGCTGGGTGCTGTACTTGAAACTGGCATGAGACCAGTGACATTGTCGGTACCTGTCCCCTGCTGCTTGTGTCCCAACTCCTGTGTCTGCTGTTGTGGTCTTGCCTGGTAGGGTCCCCCTGGGGACTTTCTGTGTTGGATACCCTCTAAGGAAGGGGTGACTTCCTGGTTTGACTTGGTGTAGGAGAACAGCATACATGCCAGGGGGCTCCTTCTCTGCAGGCTGCACACTCTTATTTGAAGGGCTCCTCTGACCCTGACCTTGGGGATTCCTCCATGGCGGTAGCAGGGAGGGGGGTCTCCCTTCTTGTCATTTTGACATTCTTTCTGGCAGTGAACCCCTTTCTCTCATCTCACCCTTCTGAAGTACCCAACCATGAGACTGGAAAATAGAATCCCTGTGGTGTCCCCTGGAATACCCCCTTCTCTCTCCCCACCAGATACAGAATGCTAACCACCAAGCAGAGAGTCCTGGCAGGGAGAAAGCGCTTGGAAGAGGGAGACAAGGCTGCAACTTCTCACCTGGAGAAGTACACAGTGTTCTCCCCTACTCCCAACTGCCTTGGCTGATACCCACATCCCTGCATTGCATCCAATCCACACCCCTCCCTCCCTTTCAGCTCCCTCCTCACTCTGATCCAAGGACAAAGGCCCTCTGCTTTCAGAACCCCCAAAGGGAGTGCGGAGAGGAATTGTGTTATTCCATGAATACTGAGCAGGCCCAGGGCAAGCCCCAGTGGTTCTCAGCTGAGGCCATGTGAGATCTGGCCCTTCAAGCTTCCACTCAGTGGTCTCAGTGGAAGGACGAGTTCCTGTCAGGCTGCCAATTAGGAGGTGAGTGTTGCACCATGCTGTGCTGGGGGTTGGGGAGGTGTTTTTGTGCAAGCCTGCCTGTGGAGGCAGCCCAGGGATACCACTGAGTTTGAGCAGCCGTGCGGGTGAGTCTGTGACGACAGGGCATGTCTACGTGGCACTGTCTACGGTCAGATAGGTACAGCTTTCCTTCCTAGGAAGCCAGGCAGCTTCTGGGATGACCGCACTGGCTACGCAGAGCACCGAGTCCACAGGCAGCACAGTCAACTGGGAATTGCAAGGAGAGAGCGCATGTAGAGTGAAGCCTTTTCCTTGCCAGAAGCTTTGGTTTATCCCCCTGCCAGTCGCCTGGGCTCTGCTGCGTTGTAGTCCCCAAATAACACACAAGACGCTGTATTAATTATGAAGCTGTTGGCTTTGCTTGTTTCTTACTGGCTAGCTCTGACCTAAGTAATTACCCCATAATTGTTAATCTAAGTATTTCTCTTACCGGAGAATAGATCCGGGCTTCCTACCCCATGGAGGTTACATCTCGACTCTGTGTTTCTCCTACCCAGAGTCCTCCTGGATTCCTAGTCCAACCTATCTTGGTTCCCTATTGGCCAACAGTGTTTTATTGACATATACACAGGACTTCCCCCATCACATGTATGTTCTTGTGGAGGCTGAAAGATAACCTTAGGTGTCATCCTGGGGAGGTCTGTCCATCTTCTTTGAGACGGTGCCTCTCATTGGTCTGGAGTTCACCAATTAGGCTAGACTGCCTGGCCAGGAAGTTACAGGGACCCTCCTGTCTCTGCCTCCCCAGTAACTGGGATTATAAACAAGCAATCATGCCCCTTGTGGGTTCTGAGTCCAGCCGTTCTGTCTCAGGTCCTTGCGTTTGCAAGACAGGAGCTTTGCTGATGGAGTCACCTCCCCTAGCCTTCCCATTGTCATCTTACGGCAGAAGAGTTGCAGGATGGGCAGGAGATCCGAGTCTGCTCCAGGTAGCTGTGAGCCAGCCAAACATTCGGAGCGGCCCTTGTGACCTGATTGCATCGGCACAGCCTTCCCATCCTTCACCCCCTCCCTAGACTGTTGGCAGGACGGGGTTCAGCTTTTATCCCGGATTGAGGTCTCCTGAGCACAGAGACTGTGAGAGCTTTGGGAGACCGAGCTGTGGCCTGGTGGGAGGAGCCTTGGAGGTCGCCTCCAAGCTCCCAGAAGCTGTCTGGGATGGTTGACGGTTACACAAGGTCCAGGGTGCAGCACAATTCTATTGCATCTCGAGACCATTGACTGGAGGGTATCGCGGGTGCTAGAACAGGCTGGCAGCATGGGTGCCAGGCAGAGGGTGTGATCATGCTTCCCGCTCTGGGTCTGCCTTTACACATGCCACACCACACAAACGTCACCGGGGGGTTATCAACGGTGGCGGCGGCGACAGTGAGTGAGTTCCTTTCGCTCCCCCCCCCCCGTTGTTGTGAGCACCTCGCTTTATTCAGGGAGGAATCGGAGGAGAAGCGGTTAGTTTGTGAATCGGCAGGCTTCCTGTGGGACAGCTGTGGACGAAGGAAACCGTACAGCGCCCGGTTCAAAGGCAGCTCTGTGTGTTGCTTGCCGGGCAGGTTTCCACCCATGGACACTGGATTTTGAGCCCGTTAAGAAGGAAGACCTGCAGTGTGATCACTTGGTCCAGGTGGGCAGGAAAGGCCTACGGAGGCTGGGACCTGTAGCCTTCAGGCAGCGGGGCTCAGCCAGGAGTGGTGGCAGGGAGCCTGGGTTGGGGAAGCACTTGGACAGCTCACACCAGGCCGGCATCCGCCAACCCGATAGGTGACAGGAGGCAGCATAGGACCCCACGGCCTCGTGGTGGGAGCCCTGCTCAGCATCTGTTCCCAGCATGGTTTGACTTGGGTGGGATGAGATTGCAGGTACCCACAGGAGATGGTATGGACCCCCTGTATTCCAGGTCGTCTGTGGGGTTTGAATCTGCCAGACTCGGGAGAAAGGGTTCTATCAGGTGTGAACAAACCCGGGGCAGAAGTTCTCAGTGACCCAAGGGCTCCAACGCCCCAGGCTACCAATGCCCCATCCGCTGTCCATAGGGTACACGTGTGCATGTACGGCAGACACACACAGAGATGCATGGGCACACACTGCACTGCATATAGCTACACACTACACACCACACACAAACACGCACACGCACATGCATGCACACATGACGCAGTCACCTGGACACACACTGTGCGCAGATATGCCCAACTCACAGACGCACACCCTGCAAAGATGCACACAGACACAGAGGCACACACACGCCTCATAGACGCACATGCATGCAGCACACTCACAGACACACAGTTTTCCTTTTCTTGCCGTCTTGTCTTAACCAAGCCAAGCCAAGCCCTCAGAAGTCTTCCCCGGGCATCTAGCACCCTGGAGAGCTCATGCTACCCGGGGCTTTCCTGCTGTGCGGTTCAGTTCTAGCCACATGATGTGCGTTGCTATGGTGCTGCTGTCTCATCTACACAGCCCCTTCCTTTGGGGTGCACAGATACTGCCATTCTGATTCAAGTTCAAGGCTGCTGTAGGGCAAGAGTTTTGTCATCTTCTTAGGATACCAACATTCCTTCCAGCCTAAAGCTCGGTCTGATTTGAGCTCCAGTCTTGTGGCATCACAGACTTAACATCTCTCATGCAAAAGGTCTGGGGAGGGAAGCAACAGCTTCCCAAGCTCTCGGGCCACTACCTTCTTCTCTTCTTGTTTAATGTTTTCCTGAATCATCTTCTGCATCTCTTGGCTTCCAATCTTTAAGAAAGAAAAGAGCTATTTATTCAATTGATAATTATGTGTACGCTTGTGTATCTGGGTGTGCGTATGCGCATGTGAGTGCAGGCGTCTGTGGGGACCAGAAGAGGGCGCCAGATCCCCTGGAGCTGGAATTACAGGCGCTAGTGATCCACCTGACATGGGTGCTGAGAATTAAACTTGGACCTCTACAAGAGCAGTAGGTACTCTTAGCCACCTAGCCATCTCTCCAGACCCTTGACTTCTAGTTTTAAGTACTTTTATTTTAGATGTGCTCTTATAAACTGTCTTTTTTTTTTAAGTTTCAGATTGAGACTCTTACATCAGCATTCAAAGTTTTTCCTTTGTTTTTTTAGAGGGTCTTTGTAGTCCAGGTTGGTTTCAAACTCCTGGGCTCCAGGCATCTTCCTGAGCAACTGGGATTATAAATTCTGTTGCATGAATTGTGGTATTGGGTGACTGCATGTTTTCTCCCTTCATGATTGTACTTGATTTTTCATGTTTTCTTTTTTTGTTGTTTCTTTTATTCTCTCTATTATAGTAAACTGTGGGATCAGCCCTTTTGCTGAGTGTGCTGAAGTCTTGAGATAGGCACATGCATCCCCATCTTTGTCAATATGTCTGACATAATCTCATTTTGCTTAGAAGCTTATCCTAGTCTGTCCCGGTGGTTCATGCCAGTGATCCCAGCACTAGGGGAGCTGAGTCAGGAGGATTGCCTCAAGTTCAACTCTATCCAGAGCTACATAGAAAGATATTTTCTCATCAAACAAACAAACAAAAACAGGCCAAAGAACTAAACAGACACTTCATTACAGGTCTACAGATGGCAGCCAGGTGTGGTGACACCCAGTCACAGTCCCAGTGCTTGCTTTAGTGGGAGAGAGGGGCAGGAGAATCAGGAGCTCAAGGCCAGACTGGCTACGCGGAAGAGCCCTGCTCTACAAAAACAAATGAAGAGACCATTTCTAGCGGTGACCCATCGCCTCAGATTACAATCCTTGCAGAAGGACTTTCTCCCTACTTCACCTTGAATTACCTCCATTTTAAGGTTTATTTTCATTCTTTTATTGCATTTTTAAAAATCACAAGTCTAGTTTCAAAAAAGTGCAACTTGCTGCCTGTCACCTGTGACCTCACAGTGCCGGCCACACCCATCAGCTCCGGTACTGTAATCATTTCTTTCTTTCTGTCTCTGTTGTAGAGTGTGTGTCCCCATGTATATGATGTGAGTGAACGTGCATGTTTACCTTTGTGGGTGTACACTTTATGGACTTGGTCTCCTCATTTAAACCTGCATGGCTTGGAACTCAGAGTGTCTAACATAGGCTGGGCTTGAAGGAAGTCACAGAGATCCCCCTGCCTCTGCCACCTGATTAGTGGGATTAAAGGTGTGCAACATTACACAGTGATTCATTGGCTATACTCTTCATCAGTTAATCTAACAGCGAGATGCAAGCAAGACGACAGGTCTGACCACTGTGACTGGTCTCTCCTGAGGACAGCTTCCCCTGTGAACTGGCCAAAGAGGCTCTTTAACGTAGTTTCAATGCAACACACACTAGGGTCTGCGGGTGGCTTGATCGTTTCCTCCTTTGTGGTTTTTTGCAAATTAAAAAAATAAAAAGGGATCCCCGTGTGTGTCACCTTCATGGATCCTCGTTGTCATTCTTCTAGGCTGGGTCCCAAGACTTCATTTTTCTGCCTCTTGTGACATTGACTTTGTGAATGACTGAGACAGCTCTTCTTCAGAGTGTCCCCTTGGCTTGAATCTGGCTGGCCTGGTTGTATTACTTTGTGACCTTGTTCTCTGGACCTTGTCACCAAGACTAGGGGCCTCTCGGCTGCCTCTTTGGTTTTAGTCTCTTTCTTTCCCTCTTTTCCCTGTCTGCTTCTGTCTCTTTCTTTCCGTGTCTCTCGTCTTTCTCTCCCTGTGTCTCTCTTTGTCCCCCTCTTGGTTGATTTCTCTCTTTATCTCTTTATGCCTCCCTCTCTTTGCTTGTCTTTATCTCTTATCATCCCTCCCTCTTTATTTCTCTCAGTCCCTCTTCTCTCCCTCTCCTACCTTTCTTGACTTCTGGGGATATCTCTCCCTGTCTGTGTTTCAGCGGGGCCCCTGTAGAAAGGCTACTTACTTTACACACGTTTTGCATTTTTAAATTTTGGGGGGGGGGGAGACAGGCTTTCTGAACCTGTAGGGGTGAGCCTACATGGGACAGGTGAGGAT